TCGTGCAACTGAAGACTCAGGGAGGAGCTGATGTTGTTTGCATTGAGGGTCTTTCAGCTGGAGACTCAGGGAAAAGCTGATGTTCTAGATTGAGGTTCATGGAGCTGGAGACCCGGGGAGGAGCTAATGTTGTAGTTTGAGGGTCTTGCAGCTGCAGACCCAGAGAGGAGCTGATGTTCTAGATTGAGGTTGGTGCAGCTGAAGACTTGGGGAGGAGCTGATGTTCTCGATTGAAGGTTGTGCAGCTGGAGATTCGGGGAGGAGCTGATGTTCTTGATTGAGGGTCATGGAGCTGGAGACACAGAGAGGAGCAGATGTTCTAATTTGAGGGTCATGCAGCCTAAGACTCGGGGAGGAGCTGATGTTCTAATTTGAAGGCCCTATAGCTGGAGACCAGTGGATAAGCTGATGTTCTAGTTTGAGGATCGTGCAACTGAAGACTCAGGGAGGAGTTGATGTTGTTCGTGTTGAGGGTCTTTCAACTGGAGACTCAGGGAGGAGCTGATGTTCTAGATTGTGGGTCATGGAGCTGGAGACCCGGAGAGGAGCTGATGTTCTAGATTGAGGGTCGTGCAGCTGCAGACCTGGGGAGGAGCGGATGTTCCAGATTGAAGGTTGTGCAGCTGGAGATTAGGGGAGGAGCTGATGTTCCAGTTTGAGGGTCATGCAACTGAAGACTCAGGGAGGAGCTGATGTTGTTCGCGTTGAGGGTCTTTCAACTGGAGACTCAGGGAAAAGCTGATGTTCTAGATTGAGGGTCATGGAGCTGGAGACCCGGGGAGGAGCTGATGTTGTAGTCTGAGGGTCTTGCAGCTGCAGACCCAGAGAGGAGCTGATGTTCTAGATTGAGGTTCATGCAGCTGAAGACCCGGGGAGGAGCTGATGTTCTTGATTGAGGGTCATGGAGCTGGAGACCCAGAGAGGAGCAGATGTTCTAATTTGAGGGTCATGCAGCCTAAGACTCGGGGAGGAGCTGATGTTCTAATTTGAAGGCCCTATAGCTGGAGACCAGTAGAGAAGCTGATGTTCTAGTTTGAGGTTCGTGCAGCTGCAGACCCGGAGAGGAGCAGGTGTTCTAGATTGAAGGTTGTGCAGGTGGAGATTAGGGGAGGAGCTGATGTTCCAGTTTGAGGGTCGTGCAACTGAAGACTCAGGGAGGAGTTGATGTTGTTCGCGTTTAGGGTCTTTCAACTGGAGACTCAGGGAGGAGCTGATGTTCTAGATTGTGGGTCATGGAGCTGGAGACCCGGAGAGGAGCGGATGTTCTAGATTGAGGTTCATGCAGCTGAAGACCCGGGGAGGAGCTGATGTTCTAGTTTGAGGTCCGTGCAGCTGCAGACCCGGAGAGGAGCAGATGTTCTAGATTGAAGGTTGTGCAGCTGGAGATTCGGGGAGGAGCTGATGTTGTTTGCATTGAGGGTCTTTCAGCTGGAGACTCAGGGAAAAGCTGATGTTCTAGATTGAGGGTCATGGAGCTGGAGACCCAGGGAGGAGCTGATGTTGTAGTTTGAGGGTCTTGCAGCTGCAGACCCAGAGAGGAGCTGATGTTCTAGATTGAGGTTCGTGCAGCTGAAGACCCTGGGAGGAGATGATGTTCTAATTTGAAGGCCCTATAGCTGGAGACCAGTGGAGAAGCTGATGTTCTAGTTTGAGGATCGTGCAACTGAAGACTCAGGGAGGAGTTGATGTTGTTCGCATTGAGGGTCTTTCAACTGGAGATTCAGGGAGGAGCTGATGTTCTAGATTGTGGGTCATGGAGCTGGAGACCTGGGGAGGAGCGGATGTTCTAGATTGAGGGTCATGCAGCTGAAGACCCGGGGAGGAGCTGATGTTCTGATTTGAGGTTCGTGCAGCTGCAGACCCGGAGAGGAGCAGGTGTTCTAGATTGAAGGTTGTGCAGGTGCAGATTCGGAGAGGAGCTGATGTTCCAGTTTGAGGGTTGTGCAACTGAAGACTTAGTGAGGAGCTGATGTTGTTTGCATTGAGGGTCTTTCAACTAGAGACTCAGGGAAAAGCTGATGTTCTAGATTGAAGGTCATGGAGCTGGAGACCCGGGGAGGAGCTGATGTTCTAATTTGAAGGCCCTATAGCTGGAGACCAGTGGAGAAGCTGATGTTCTAGTTTGAGGATCGTGCAACTGAAGACTCAGGGAGGAGTTGATGTTGTTCGCATTGAGGGTCTTTCAACTGGAGGCTCAGGGAGGAGCTGATGTTCTAGATTGTGGGTCATGGAGCTGGAGACCCGGAGAGGAGCTGATGTTCTAGATGGAGGTTCGTGCAGCTGAAGACCCGGGGAGGAGCTGATGTTCTCATTTGATGGCCCTACAGCTGGAGACCCGGAGAGAAGTTGATGTTCTAGATTGAGGGCCCTACAGCTGTAGACCTGGAGAGGAGGTGATGTTCTAGATTGAGGTTCATGCAGCTGAAGACTCAGGGAGGAGCTGATGTTCTAGATTGAGGGTTGTGCAGCTGAAGATTCGGGGAGGAGCTGGTATTGTTCCCGTTGAGGGTCTTTCAGCTGGACACTCAGGGAGGAGCTGATTTTCTAGATTGAGGGTCATGGAGCTGGAGACCCAGAGAGGAGCTGATGTTTTTCTGATCAGTGGGTCATGGAGCTGGAGACACCAGGAGGAGCTGATGTTCAAGTTTGAGGCTCCTGCATCTGGAGACCTGGGGAGGGGCTAATGTTTTTATGATCAGAGGATCGTGGAGCTGGAGACACCGGGAGGATCTGTTTTCCTATTTTGAGGTTCGTGGAGCTGGAGACCTGGAGGGGAGCTGGTGCTGCTCTTCTTTAAGTCTGAGGGTCGTGAAGCTGGAGATCCGGGGCTAAGCTGATGTTTTTCTAGTGTGAGGTTTGTGGAGCTGGAGACCTAGGGGGAGCTAGTGTTTTTCTAATTTGAGGGTCGTGCAGCCTACCCTCAAACATCCTCAAACTAGAACAACACTGCTCCGCCCGGATGTCCAGCTCCACAACCCTCAAGCTAGAAAAACACCAGCTTCTCCCTGGGTGTCCAGCTCCACGACCCTCAAACTAGAACAACAGTACCTCCTCCCTTGGTGTCCAGCTCTACGACCCTCAAACTAGAAAAACACCAGATCCTCCCTGAGTGTCCATCTCCACGACCCTCAAAATAGATGAAAATCAGCTCCTTCCTGGGTGTCCAGCTGCACGACCCTCAAACTAGAAAAACCAGGTGAAGTTCTTTTGTTTGCTGCTGTTTTTCTAGTTTGAGCATCATGCAGCTGGAGACCCGAGGAGGAGCTGATGTTGCTCTAGATTGAGGGTCATGGAGCTTGGAGACCCAGGGAGGAACTGGTGTTTTTCTAGTTTGAGGGTCGTGCAGCTGGAGACCTGGGAAGGAGCTGATGTTCTAATTTGAGAGCCGTGGAGCTGGAGACTTGGAGAGGAGCTGATGTTGTTCTAGTTTGACGGTTGTAGAGCTGGAGACCCAGGGAGGAGCTGTTGTTTTTCTAGTTTGAGTGTCGTGCAGCTGAAGACCCGGGACAAAGCTGATGTTCTAGTTTGAGGAGCGTGCAGCTAGACACCCAGGGAGGAGCTGATATTCTCGTTTCAGGGCCCTGCAGCTGGAGACCTGGGGAGGAGGTGGTCCTGTGGTTCAAATCTGAGGGTCCCGGAGCTGGAATCTATGGGAGGAGCCAGTGCTGCCTCTGATGTCTTAGGTTGTGGCGCTGGAGACCTGCGGAGGAGCCGGAGTTGGTGTCTAGTGTGAGTTTCGTGCAGCTAGAGATCCAGGGAGGAGCTGATGGTGTTCTAGTTGAGGGTCATGGAGCTGGAAACCCAGGGAGGAGCTGGTCCTTCTGTTGTTTAAGTCTGAAGGTCATCGAGCTGGAGATCCAGGGAAGAGCTGGTGCTGCGGTTCAAGTCTGAGGGACCTGGAGCTTGAGCCCCTGGGAGGAGCCGGAGCTGCCACTGATGTCTTAGGTTGTAAAGCTGGAGACCCGCAGAGGAGCTGGTGTTTCTGCTCTAGTGTGAGGTTTGCGGAGCTGGAGATCCAGGGGTGAGTGGTGTTGGTCTAGTCTGAGGGTCATTCAGCCAGAGACCCGGGGAGGAGCTGGTGTGTTTCTTGTTGGAGGATCGTGGAGCTGGAGATTCCCGGATGAGCTGGTGCTGCTGTTTTTTTAAGTCTGAGGGTCATGGAGCTGGAGATCCGGGGAAGAGCTGGTGCTGTGGTTGAAGTCTGAGGGTCCCGGAGCTGGAGTCCCTGGGAGGTGTTTGTACTGCCACTGATATCTTAGGTTTTGGAGCTGGAGACCTGCAGAGAAGCCGGGCTGGTGTTCTAGTTTGAGGTTCGTGGAGCTGGAATCCTGGGCAGGAGCCAGTGATGCTGTTTAAGTCTGAAGTTCGTGGAGCTAAACATGGAGCCGATGTTGGGGAAGTAGAGAGAGAGAGAGAGAGAGAGTTACAGGACCCCACTTGAAACTGTACGTGTAGTTGAATCCCAAGCAAGTTAAGCCTGGGAGCTTCTCAGTCCTTGTGATCAATACATTCCTTTTTCTCTTACACAGTTTGGATTTGTTTTCTGTCTCACGAGACAGAAAGACCCTGATTAATACCACCAGTAATTGAAAAGCTTAAAAAAACCTAAGTGATATTGGTATAATAATAATAGAAGTAAAACTATGATTATCGGCCGGGCGCGGTGGCTCAAGCCTGTAATCCCAGCACTTTGGGAGGCTGAGATGGGTGGATCACAAGGTCAGGAGATCAAGACCATCCTGGCCAACACGGTGAAACCCCATCTCTACTAAAAATACAAAAAAATTAGCCGGGCATGGTAGCGGGCTACTCGGGAGGCTGAGGCAGGAGAATGGCGTGAACCCGGGAGGCGGAGCTTGTAGTGAGCCGAGAGAGCGCCACCGCACTCCAGCCTGGGCTACAGAGCGAGACTCCGTCTCAAAAAAAAAAAAAAAAAAAAACTATGATTATCCTGACTGACAGAGACAAAATCACACACCACACAATATTTATCTTTTCAATCAGTAAAATAAAATATAAATTGAAAAATAGACCCATGCAAAGCTATAAAAAGTTATTTCATGGAGAAGCGATGGATGACAGAGATTAATCTGAGAGTTACTATTAATGGAGAAACTTAGAACTTACCGTTTTTCCTGTGAGGTTTCGGTGCTGATACTGATGTTTTGTGAGTTCTGGCAGCTGAGTCCGTTCGCACAGCCTGGCGATGCAGCAGGTTCACAGAAGGGCCCTGTCCCAGCTGCTCCTGCTCCCCTGCTATGATGGTGCGGCCTCTGCTCTCTGACTGTGCCTTGAGGGGAGACCAGGCCCTTGATCACAAGCGTATCCATGGTGAGGTTCTGTGGATGGAACCTCATGGATGTTCCTTCCTGATGTTCATCGGCCATCTTGCTATTTAATGCATCTTGTTTATAACTATCTTCTAAATATTGAATAGAAATAAAGCATTTGTAAAATATGGGTGAGGTATAAAGAATATTGACACATTGGACACAGAGGACCTTCACCAGGTTTAGGGAATAGAATGTGAAGAGACATAACTTTGGATGCTCCCTGGAGGCCCTGCCTGAGTCCCAGTCCCTTCCCTTCTCCTACAGAGGGAATCACTTCCTGCTTTAGTCTTTATTGTTCCCGTACTTTTCTTCACAGTACGTTTCTTTCAGCGTGTATGCGTACATCCCTAAACACCTAAAAAATATGCAAGTTAGTTTTTGAACTTTCTGTTTTCTTTTTGAGGCAGGGTCTTGCTCTGTTGCCTCGACTGTAGTTTTGAACTTTGATGTGAGGAAATTCTCCTGCGTGGCTGCTCCTACACTGCGCGGCTCTGAGCTCGATGCCTGTTTCTGTCCTCCATTCTCCCCGAGACCCACCCACACTGACGTGGTTCATTTTCATTGTGTGATCGCCCGTCTCCATTCTCCCCCAGACCCACCCACACTGACGTGGTTCATTGTCATTGCTG